GTCAACAAACTCATGGAAGTTGAACAGTCAACTACTAAATCACCCCTGGGTCAAGGATGAAATTAAGAAAGAAATTAAAGTCTTCCTTGAATTTAATGAAAACAAAGACACAACATACTCAAACCTATGGGACACTATGAAAACAGTGCTAAGAGGAAAGTTCATAGCAATAGGTGCCCAAATAAAGAAAAGGGAGAAAGCACACATTGGAGACCTAACAGCACACTTGAAAGCTCTAGAAAAAAAAGAAGCTGATTCACCCAGGAGGAGTAGAAGACTGGAAATAATCAAACTGAGGGCTGAAATCAACAAAATAGAAACAGAGAAAACAATCCAAAGAATCAATGAATCAAAAAGCTGGTTCTTGGAGAAAATCAACAAGATTGACAAACCCCTATCCAAACTAATCAAACGGCAGAGAGAGCACATGCAAATTAATAGGATCAGAAATGAAAAGGGGGATATAACCACAGACACAGAGGAAATTCAGAGAATCATTAGATCTTACTACGAAAGTTTATATGCCACAAAGTTGGAAAATGTACAAGAAATGGAGATTTTTTAGATAAGTACCATATACCAAAGTTGAACCAAGAACAGGTGAACAATCTAAATAGACCTGTTAGTCGTGAAGAATTAGAAGCTGTTACCAGAAATCTCCCTGCCAAAAAAAGCCCAGGACCAGATGGTTTCAATGCAGAATTCTACCAGAACTTCCAGGAAGAGCTAATACCTATACTCCTTAATGTATTCCATAATATAGAAACAGAAGAGTCATTGTCAAACTCCTTTTATGAAGCTACAGTTACCTTAATACCAAAACCACACAAAGACACAACCAAGAAAGAAAATTACAGGCCAATCTCACTCATGAACATTGACGCGAAAATTCTCAATAAAATCCTGGCAAACCGAATCCAGGAACACATTAGAAAAATTATCCATTATGATCAAGTAGGCTTCATCCCAGAGATGCAGGGCTGGTTCAACATACGCAAATCTATCAATGTAATCCATCATATAAATAAACTGAAAGAAAAAAACCATATGATCATTTCATTGGATGCTGAAAAAGCATTTGACAAAATTCAACACCCATTTATGATAAAGGTGTTGGAGAGACTGGGGATACAAGGATCATACCTAAATATAATAAAAGCAATATACAGCAAGCCAACAGCTAACATCAAATTGAATGGAGAGAAACTCAAAGCCTTTCCACTAAAATTAGGAACACGACAAGGCTGTCCACTCTCTCCATACCTCTTCAATATAGTGCTTGAAGTTCTAGCAATAGCAATAAGACAACATAAAGAGATCAAGGGGATTCGAATTGGAAAGGATGAAGTTAAACTTTTGTTATTTGCTGACGATATGATAGTGTACATAAGTGACCCCAAAAACTCTACCAAAGAACTCCTACAGCTGATAAACACCTTTAGTAATGTGGCAGGATACAAGATCAACTCCAAAAAATCAGTGGCCCTCCTATACACAAAGGATAAAGAAGCAGAGAGGGAAATCAGAGAAACATCACCTTTCACGATAGCCACATATAGCATAAAATATCTTGGGGTTACTCTAACCAAGGAAGTGAAAGACCTATTTGACAAGAACTTTAAGTCTTTGAAGAAAGAAATTGAGGAGGATACCAGAAAATGGAAAGATCTCCCTTGTTCTTGGATTGGGAGGATCAACATAGTAAAAATGGCAATTCTACCAAAAGCAATCTATAGATTCAATGCAATCCCCATCAAAATCCCATCAAACTTCTTCACAGACCTTGAGAGAACAATAATCAAGTTTATATGGCAAAACAAAAAACCCAAGATAGCCAAAACAATCTTATACAATAAAGGAACTTCTGGAGGCATTACCATCCCTGACTTCAAACTCTATTACAGAGCTACAGTATTGAAAACAGCTTGGTATTGGCATAAGAACAGAGAAATCGACCTTTGGAATCAAATAGAAGACCCGGATATTAACCCACAAACCTATGAGTACCTAATTTTTGACAAGGGAGCTAAAGGTATACAATGGAAGAAGGAAAGCATCTTTAACAAATGGTGCTGGCATAACTGGATGTCAACCTGTAGAAGGATGAAAGTAGATCCATACCTATCACCATGCACAAAACTCAAGTCCAAGTGAATTAAAGACATCAACATTAATCCGTCCACTTTGAACCTGATAGAAGAGAAAGTGGGAAGTAGTCTACAAGATATAGGCACAGGAGGCCTCTTCCTAAGTAGGACCCCAGCAGCACAGACAATAAGAGAAACAATGAATAAATGGGATCTACTGAAACTGAGAAGCTTCTGTAAAGCAAAGGACACTGTCAGTAAGACAAAAAGGTTGCCTTCTGACTGGGAGAAGATCTTCACCAATCCCTCATCAGACAAAGGTCTGATCTCCAAAATATACAAAGAACTCAAGAAACTAGGCACTAAAACTCTAATTAACCCAATTAAAAAATGGGGTACTGAACTGAACAGAGAATTCACAACCGATGACCTTCGAATGGCCAGAAGACTCTTAAGGTCATGCTCAACCTCCTTAGCGATCAGGGAAATGCAAATCAAAACCCCTTTGAGATACCATCTTACACCTGTCAGAATAGCTAAAGTCAAAAACACCAATAATAGCCTATGCTGGAGAGGATGTGGGGTGAGGGGAACACTCATCCATTGTTGGTGGGAATGCAAACTTGTGCAGCCACTGTGGAAATCAGTGTGGTGGTTTCTCAGGAAACTGGGAGTCAACCTCCCTCAGGACCCAGCAATTCCACTCTTGGGAATATACCCTAGAGATTCCCTTGCATACTACAAAAGCATTTGTTCCACTATGCTCATAGCAGCAGTATTTGTAATAGCCAGAACCTGGAAACAGCCGAGGTGCCCCTCAATAGAAGAATGGTTAAAAAAGGTGTGGAACATATACACATTAGAGTTTTACTCAGAGGTAAAAAATAATGACATCTTGAATTTTGCATGCAAATGGATGGACATAGAAAACGCTTTACTGAGTGAGGTAAGCCAGACCCAAAAAGAGGAACACGGTATGTATTCACTCATAAGTGGATTCTAACCATAATTAAAGGTCTTTGAGCCTATTATTCGTGATCCTAGAGAAGCTAAATAAGAAGACGAACCTGATGAAGACTATTTAGCTATCCGCCAGGAGGTAGGAAATAGTCAAGAGTCCCAGGTAACCTTGGGTGCATGGGGGTGGGGTGGGAGGGTTGTTGGAAGGGGAGAGGGTTAGAGAGAAGGGAGTAGGGGAGGAATGGTGAAAGCTCGGTTGACCGGGATGGGGGGAAGGGAGGAAGGATGAATATGGGATCAGGGAAGAATATATTTCAACTAAGGGAGTCATTTTAGGGTTTACAGGAAACTTGATTATATATGGGATCCCAGGTCCAAGGAGAGATCCCCAGATTGTTCTCTGGACAGAGGAGAGGGTGCCTGAACCGGCCTTGGCCCATAACCATACTGATGAATATTTTGCTTATCACCATAGATCCTTCATCTGGCGATGGATGGCGATACAGATGGAGACCCACATTGGAGCACCGGACTGAGCCCCCCAAGGTCCAAATGAGGAGCAGAAGGACGAAGAAAATGACGAAGGACTGCGAGGGATGCTATCACCCTCTGATACAAGGGGTCGGATCTAATGAGAGTTTACCAAGGGCAGTTGGACTGCGACTGAAGGAGCACGTGATCCAACCAGATTCTCTGAATGTGGCTGGCCCGGAGTCTTTCTGAGAAGCCATTGACAATGACACTGGGACTAGTTTCCTCTGCATATACTGGATTTTTGGGATCCAGTCTCTTTGGATACTCACCTTCCTGGACCTGGAGAGAGGGGGGAGGAACTTGAACTTCCCACAGGGCTGGAAACCCTGACTGCCCTTAGGGACAAAGAGGGAGGAGAAGAGGGAGGGTGGGGAGTGGGAGGGTGTTGGGAAGAGGGGCGTAAATGGAAACTTTTATAATTTAATAAAATTAGTTTCAAAAAAAAAAAAAGAAAACAAAGTGCAGAGCAGAGGCCTATGCAACGTGTACGCTCCAAAAGTAAATGAGCTGGCATAGAGGTGGGACTCAAACCTGGTGAATGTAGTATCTTTGAAAGAACAGATTTTAGAAAAAAAGGGTTTAAAGGAGAGAAGATTCAGAATATGTGTCTTGCAGAGTTGAATTATAGCATTGGCTGAAAAGTGCTTAACAACATTGTTGAAAACTTTGTATGAAATGAAGAGTTGGAGAATGATCACTCACTTAAGTCCGTGTGTGGTGAGGAGGTTGGAAGTGTGGGGTTGAAAATGGTGCTTTTGGGTCTCTAAATGATGGTAATAGAGTCAGGAAGCAGGGACCTTGTCGGGGTAGTGACAGAGGTGGTGGTGGTAATGAGTAAGAAGAGTTCATCAAAGGAGAAAAAGGATATAGCATAGTATATTCAAATCACAGGGAACTATCTGCTGCTGATTACTGTTGCTGCTGCTACTACTGCTGTTTTTTTTTCTGCCAAAGTATGGGGAAAATGATTGATGAAGAACACAAGGAAGCTACATCTTTTTTTCATAGCTAAAGCAAAAGGGGTGCCTGCCAGAGGAATTCTGTTTTGTCTATAGCAGGCGACATTAACTCCTGAGACTCAGTTGGGAGATGGCGGGGGAAGTTCAACTCCTCATTTATCCTGCTGATTATACTGGCAGATTACTTGTGTTGTCTTGCATCCTCTCGTTTTCTGGGATTATATAGTACAGCGTTAGATGTTGTTGTTTACCAGCTGTTGAGCCTACCTAAGGCAGATGTGACGACATCGTACATCGGAACTACCACTCCCAGAGTGCAGTATAAGTCCTGGGAAATGCGGAGGGTAGGAAACGTCTCAGATCCCGCCCTCTAGCTTGCTCCCATTGGAGGAGAGATCAGGTTCCCAGGAGGCCACGCGTAGGCGGGGCCCTTTACACGGAAGCTTGGGGCGTCAGGTCCTGTCCTTCTTTCGTTTCCGGCAGTGGGCGACACTGGGAGGACCTGCTCCCCTTGGCCAGAAGGCCGAGTTCCCGCTAGAGGGTACCCAGACAGGTAAAAGGAGTGGGACATTTTTGCGGGAGGTGAGGAGACACTTCGGAGAGAGAGCGGAGGGGTGGTGTAAACTAGAAGGTGCTAGGGTGGAGCAAAAGGCAGGGCAAGTGTGACTTGGAGTTTTCTGTTGTCTACAATTCTAATTGTTGAACAGGTCCAGTTTGGACAGAGTATGTTTTACACTGCTGAAGAGGTCTCAGGTTAGTGTCAGAACGCGTCATTTAAGTTATAATTACAGGGTGGAAAATATTAAGTCTCCCTCAATTCGCGTTCTGCAGACTTTTCTATAGCCAAAAAACTCTTTCCACTTTCTGCTTCATATTTTTCCTCTATTCATGCTTCGTTGTGAGTTCCTAGCCTCCCCCTAACCTCCCCCCCCTCCGTACACTCTTAGCGGTATTGACATTGCACTTTCTCATTTCCAGTAGGCAGTAGATTCCCCACTCAAAACTATTGTTTGAGCGTATTACTGTTATTTTTATTGATGGCCAATATCTACCAAATTGATCATGTACTTGACTCGTTGGTTACTATGACTCTGACTCTCATAACCAATGAATTATCAAGTGTTTTTCTTGGGATTTTATTAATCACACTATGACATGTATCTTCATTCTCTTTTGAAAATTCTTTTCCTTTGAATAGCTATGGCTTGAAGCGGTGTACTTAACATATATTTATTAAAGGGTGAATACATATTAAATACTCCTTTAAGTGCATGGGATGCGTTGGTAGTAAACAAGACATAGGAGATGATTGCTATAGGAACTTGCATGTTTGGGGAACAGGGATAAGTAGGAATAGTAAATCAATATGGTGGTATGTGTTGATAAATGTAAAACTTTAAAGGTAGTTGGTTTGACAGTATAAAATTCTATCCTGAGAAAGTGAGAGGGATTTAGTTAGACTTCAAAACATTTTTGAGAAACAATAGTTGTGATAGCAAAAGGAATAATCTTTATCTGTAACTTGACTTTTCATAAACATCCCTTCTTTTTAGTTGTCTAGCTTGACAGTGTTCTTTCTTTGCTATCTGTTGCAAGGTTATCCTACAAATTGTAATATGCAACAACTTGTAGTTTTTCTGACATTGACTTATTTCTTGCTATGTCTCACACTGAAGAGTTGGTGACTGGATTATTATCAATAAACTGTCTTACCTGAATTACAGAGAGAGTTTGGTAGTAAAAAAAATACTCTTCTTGCCTGTTTCTATAGAATATAAAGTTATCTATTATTTGGAATATTTTAAGTACACCCAGTGTTCACTTAACTGTTCAATAAATATTCTGTGCTAGGGATTGTGCTGAGAATTGGGTAGATAAGGTAAAACAAACACTTTGACCTCTCTTTTAAGGAGAAATGTTAACAGTATATGAGGAAAATGCTGCTACATAGATTTGTAACTAGTCATTCTTTATCTTCACTGAAGATTAGAATCAAATAATTATATAGTCTTATTTTTAACAGTTTAAACAATTGTGGTTATTCTTAGGTTATTCATTCTCTACATCTTATTGTATTTATTTATGTCTGTCTCCCTTTGTATTATGATTCCCTTTGTAGTATAGGAGTTCTTTTTACCTTGGTTTCATAACTCCATTATCTACTGCTTTGACTGTCACATCCAGGCTGGCCTTGAACTCAGTATATTGCTGAGACTTACCCTGAACTCTTGATAGTCCTGCCTCTACTTCCCAAGTGCTACAATCAGAGGTATGCACAACCACATCCAGCTATAACATACTTTTCTAAGTCCAAACTATAGTAGATTGCCTCATAGCTATAAGGACAGGTCTCTAAAATCACTGAGGAAAAAGATGAGGTAATTGGTTTTAGAAGAAGAAGTGGCAATTTGGAAGGATGTAAATTATATGGAAAATGGAGAATAGGATTGATTTGAGAACACAGAGTTCTGTTAATTGTGTCTTCCATAAAGCTATGTTGAAGTCCTGACTTTTGACACCTGTGCCTGGTACCTTACTGCATATAGAATTTTGTAAATAAAGATGCCATATTGGAGTATAGTAGACACTTGACTAATATGATTGGTCTCAAAAGGATAGAAGAAACACAGAAACAATGTTATCTGAAGACAAGAGAGCACTATGTGACTAGTGTGGCAAAGATTAAAGTGTTGCAACTGCAAGTCAAAGAAGAATGCTATCAAATTGCCAGAAACTAGGCGAAACTAAAGATTCTTCCCTACAGATTTTGTAGGGAGCATGGTCCTACCAATGTCTTGATTTTTGCCCTCTGGCCTTTTAAGCTTTGAGGTGATAAATTTTTGTCAGTGGTAATCTCCTGGTTTTTGATAATTTTTATGGCTGTCACAGAAAACTAATTTAGAATTTTTAGCAAGATCTAAGTAGAATTGAGATAATGGCTATTGGCCTAAGTGAGAAATGTTTAAGAGAATTGGAAGAAGCAGCACTGAGGAAAATCTGGTATTTCTATTATTTTGCCTCTCTATCTGGCTTATTTGATGCTTTTTCTTTATGAATGTTACTTTATACAGCATTTCATGGTTTGTTAAATAATCACATAGTGCTTATAATTAGTTGAGCTAGGTTTCCTTATTTCAAATACAGTGAGTGTTCTTTCTGCTATGTTGTTTCTGTTGTCTCAACACTCATCAATATGTTAACACATTCAGTTGCAAAAGAGTTATAATGTGGTCGGGCAAGATTTGACTGTATGTGACGTTTTTTAGTAATATATGACATCATTAAAAAAATTCTTATTAGTGACATCTGGAAAGAAAATAAGATTTTTGTTGCTATATATGCAATATCTAACAGTTTAAATTTTAATTTGGAACTACTTTTATTGTGGGAAAAATTTCTATTTTATGCTATTTATTGCACTACTTCTCTGTAGCTTATATTGATTATTCCCAATTTTACTCTCAAAAGTGTGCTCTTTATTCCAATACATATACACTTTATATAAACTTAAAAGATGTTTTACATTCCCTTTTCTTTTTAAACTATCTTTAGTTTCTTAAGTCATCCCCTTTATAACATAATTTCCAAATTTCTCACATGTAGTCTCTCCCTTCCGTACAGTCGAGATACCCAGAACTAAATTCAGTGTTCTCTGTGCAGTATAACTAACATAGCATGGAATAATAATAGGACTTAAAGAGAGCAAATTGCCTCATATCCTAATACAATTTAAGATTATTTAAGCATTTTAAAGTTACTTCATGCCCTTGGTTCATAATTAGTCTTTTTTATGTTGTTGCAAATCTTGATTTTTTTTCTTGAAGTTGCAGAGTGACCAAAGCTGCCACTTTCATCTCTCTGTCTGGATGCTATATGAATTTTTATCTCTGTATCTCTGTGCTTTCATTTGTTCAACTATATGTCTCTTTGACCCTAGGCAATAGCTTCCTTCCTTTTGAAATTGAAGTCAATATTTTCTAGTCCTCATTCTTTGTATGAGACAATACATCCAGCCACTAAAACTTGTTCCTTTTCATTTTTTCTTTCCCTTTTGACCTCTGTTACACATTTACCCCACTTGGTTCTCTTGAGGGTTTTTTTGTGGGTCTCTACTCTTTTATATTTCCTTTAATTGTTGGTTATGTCTTGGGTTTATCATTGACCCTATTCTTTTCTATCTTTTATGAATTATATTTTAAATGTCAAATTCACATGAACTCATCTTTGATAGAAGGGTATAGAATCAGTTCCTTAAGGAATTCACCATTTAGTGGTGAGTTAGGGGTTGAAAAAGTCATCAAGAAGAAAGCCAGAGAAGTCAAATACATAGGAAAGTTTCAAGAATGAGAATCAGTTAGCATGTTGGTAGTTCTTGAGAAATGAATTAAGGTGAATATAGAAAAATGATCATTATTTTATAGTATAGAAGGAGGCTGTTTGTGATTTTAGGAATCATTATATTTTGGATTTTTAAGGGCAAAAGCCAGAGTATAGTAAGTTGAGGAGTTAAAAGGATGTAGAGAAGCAAAAATAATATATAGCCAAAAGTCTGAGAAATAGAATGATAAATGCAGAGTGGTGATACATGGTCAAGGAAGGCTTTTAGATCAAGGGAGATAAAAGTATGAGATGTTGGTTTGGAAAGTGTAACTTCCTACATATTTGTTCAGAAGAGTCTGGAAAGAAGACTGCTAAAGACATAACTCTAGGGAACAAATTTATTTAGGCATTAGGAATGAAGATGAGATCGTACTAGAAATTCAGCTTAAAAGATAGATGAATGAATACCTTTTGCTCTGTGTACTGCCCTTCAGTGCTGAGATTCTAATCAGTGCTCAGAAGACTCCTTGACCCCAAGTAGTTCATAGTTTTCTTCTTTATGTACTGAAGTATGGCTATGTTAATTATTTTCTTTTAGGCCCATCTAGGCCAGATTATTTAACTACAGTTTTCAGAATCTAACCTCTGACTTAAAATTCAGATTTTAAGAGATTATGTCAAGTGATTCATTCTGCTACCCAACATGATTTATAGTCTCATTATAGTTTGAGAACCACTGATATACTTGGTGAAAATAGTCGTGTTAAATTATATTATTTTGAAGGGTTACTTTTTTAATTTTTATAGCTTAAACCATGAAACAGATAAATCTGGCCTAATGTAGGAAGAAAAATAAGCATATCCATATCCAAATGTCAGGAAAGTTATTTTCAACTCATGCCATATTGTTTTGGTGATAATCATTCTTCTTTTGTGGAAGGTTTGTGTTAATTTCATTTGGTTGCTTTTATGAATAATGCTTTTCTATTAGAGGTAATTCTCATATAGGCATAAATTATATAATGTACATATTATTGGCTCTATACAGCCATATGGGTTCTAGAATCACAGTGTCTGGGTTTAAGTCATCCTATCACTGTAGCTTTATAATCTTGAGAAAAATAATTATGGTGTCAGTACCTCAGTTTCCTTATCTATAATAGCATCATAACTGTATATAATCCCATTGAGTTATGCAAATTAAATGAGCTGATATCTGTTCCAAGGTGAATACTCAATAAATATGGGTTGTTATTGTTATCATTGTGAATCTAGAGTCTAGTTTCTGCTAAACTATTTCCCTAAGATAAATTTTCAGGATGAGATTATTTCATTAAACTGTGATGACATCATGAACATCATGTCACTTTGCTGTCTATGACCATTACGTTTCAAAACAGTATCAAGTTTCTGCTATATAATTTATAAATACAGCCTGTGTATGCACTGATACGTAACTATAAGCAGTATAAGTCATAAGCTTATAGAAAACCTTAAGGTTTTTCTCTTTTTTCCTTATTGCTGAGGATCAAGCCCAGGGTTACAGGCATACTAAGCATATTTTATACCACTGAGCTGTGTCCCAGTTCCTATTAAATTTCATTGATTTTTATACTATAGTGCTTTGTTCAATACTATCTGTAGATGGATGTAGATAAATGATAAGTTTACTTTTTAAAGCTTATGCCTAAGTGCTGTGGGGTAATGGTCTTGTACCCTGTAAAGATTTGTCACTTGTATTGTTTTAATAAAATGCTGATTGGCCAGTAGCCAGGCAGGAAGTAAAGTTGTGGCAACCAGAACAGGAGAATTCTGGGAAGAGGAAAGGCTCAATCTGAAGTCATCACTGAGACACAAAGGAATCAAAATGAGAATGCCTCACTGATAAATGTACCAAGCCATGTGGCTGACATAGACAAGAATTATGGGTTGATGTAAGATATAAGAGTTAGTTAATAAGAAAGCCTGAGCTAATAGGCCAAACAGTTTATAATTAATGTTGACCTCTGTGTATTTCTTTGAGACTGAATGGCTGCGGGACCGGGTGGGACATAAGACTTCTGCCAACACCTAAGTAATATTCTAAATCTGTGTCCTTTTTTTACTTTTAATAGATTGAAGTCATGGCCATTCTTTTTGCTGTTGTTGCCAGGGGAACCACTATCCTTGCCAAACATGCTTGGTGTGGAGGAAACTTCCTGGAGGTGACAGAGCAGATTCTGGCTAAGATACCTTCTGAAAATAATAAACTAACTTACTCACATGGCAAGTGAGTTCTGATCTGCATGTGGTTGAGGGAAAGAAGGAATTTTATTGTAGTAAAAACAGTAGAAAGTTTTTAGGTAGATTAATTTGACAAAGCAATAATTTGACTAGCTTAGGAAATTTGTGGTACTAAGCTAGGCATGGTGGTAACTCATGCCTCTAATCCTACTACTTGATCCCACTGTGAGTTCAAGACCAGTCTAAACCACAGAATGAAACCCTACCTCAGAACAGTAAAAAAAAAAGTCTGGTTTTGTTATTTATTAACTTACGGTTATTTTATTCTATCATTGAAATTATATATTAAAGAAAGATATGGCAATGTTATATATAAAAATGGCTTTTCTATTAAGTTCTAAGATATGTAAAATGATACAGATAATATAAAAAGTATACTTTTTTCATTCTTTTAGTAAATATTAACACAGTACTTAGCTATTGATAGGCACTTTACCTGTTGAAAGTGCTATAACAAGAAATTTAGTATTTACCTTCATAAAGATTATAGCTTAATGATGAAATCTGTAGATAAGTATAGTAGAGACTAAAAATAGTGGCATTTTAGTTAGAAGGAACAGAGTTATACAGAGTATTTATGAAATTTTAAGTCATTCTCTGTGACGAGTACTCAGAATGATGATGATAAAACTAAAGAGATGGGTAGGAGAAAGTCATGCATGGCTTCATAGGGCATGTTAAGAGTTTAGGCTTACCAGTAGGCAGTGGAAAGGTACTGAAGGCTTTTAAGGTATGACAGGTTTTGCTGTAGAAATATCACTATGGTGTTGTATGAAAGAGGACATAGATGGTAAAGCATAGTAATCATGTTAAAAAGTGCGTTATTAATTTATAAAAATTTCCACTTCCTCCCCTCCTCCCAATGCCCTCCCACTCCCCCCACTCCCAATTAAAAGACTCTGTGGCAGAGAGGAAACACACACACACACACACACACACACACACACACAAAAGTGCATTAACTTTCCTCATTGATGCTTAAAATATTTTATTATTTAATTCTTATTTCCTTAGTTTTTTTTCCTTAGGTTTTAATGTCAGAAAATCCTTATTACTTTCTAGAATTAAGCCCCTTTACAGGTTAATTAAAGCTACTGTGAGAAAACACCATGATACAAAATTGACATATATGAAAGTAGTCTTGAAATGAGTAGTTCAGAGCCATCACTATTGAAAAAATACGGAATTCTTTTATTTGGAGGAAGGGACTATATCTTTCACTAATATTATTAGAGCCAGAATTTAGAAACATACCTACATCTAGCTACAAGGCAGCCTAAGAAATTTAACTACAATGTAAGTTTTAGAAGAAAATATTTTATACATGCTGTGATTTCTACCCAAATCTTCACCACTTTTCCCATGTTTGTTAGATGAGGTTTAATCACTGAGTTTTTTTTTTTTAAACTTATGGCCTGGTTTCAGTCATATAATGTTAGTCATCTCAATAAGGTAACTTTTACTAAATTGAATACTTTCACTAGATTTTCAGCTAGCTAAGCCTAAAACTTCAGAATCATATTTCACTTCTTCACCAAATATTTACCTTTCTTCTACAAGTTTGTCAGCCCATTTCTCTATTTCCATTTTTCTTCAGTGACCTTGTCTTCTACTACTTTAGTCCTCATTTTTGTTTTCTATCTACTTAACAACTTACTATTCAGTGCTAATTTCTTAGTTTCTTCATAACATTTGTGATAATTCTCTCCATTTATTGGTGTATGGTCACCATACTTATGTTTGTAAAAATCTGTTAAGGAAGACAAAAGCAGGTTTTAAAAATGTTAAGTATGATAGACAGTAGCATATGTAGGACTGAAGCTCAGGTGGTGGGTTACATACTGATTTTTGATATCATCAACTGTAATAACGTTACCTTCCCCAGGCAAAAAATGTTTTGAATATTTTCATTGTTCTCAAAGCAGTATGCAATGCAGTTTATAAAATCTTGTGTAATCTATTATGTACCTATTTTTGTACTGTCATCTGTCCAGGCAATTACACTTTTCCCTGAGTATTCTATACTTTTGTAATGTGAACTGATCTTACTCTTCTGTATCTGTATCTATTATGTGCTCTTTTTAATCTTCACATCCTTACACTGTGTAATTCTGTACTTTTGTCTATTCTTTGCTTACTGTTTGCATTCCTATCTATTACTTATTCTTTAGAATTCAGATCACATATCACTTTTACCCATTGGTAAATCTCCATTACCTCATTACTCTATACTACCCTCAACTTTGTTATCATCTTGTTTGCCATGCTGCTTTGTTAGTCTTTAACCTACAATTCCTAAAAAAACAGGGACTGATGGTTTTACATTCTGTATCCTTATTATCCTGCTGATTAACTTGATTAAAGTAGATGCTCAAATGTTATTGTTGAGAATTTGGTAGCAAAGGTGTTTGTATTTGTCATACCAGGAAAAAGCTAAATAAAAACAAAAACCCTGTCGCCCACTGGAGATAAATTTTAATTGTGTGTCCCTTCTAAGATACCATCTTTTCTTTAGGCCTTAGGAATCCAATTATGCTTTTGTAGCTAACATTTTAATGGTTAATGCATATGTTATTATATTTAGGAAAGAGAATTTATTTTCATATTTTATTCATTTCTGTCAGTTTAACTAGAGATAGAAATGTGTTGGGAAGAGGAGGATGAGAATATGTTGTATTTGTATCAGTATAGTGAAATTGGACATACTGAACTGGCTTATATATAGATAGAACTTAGAAGTGAAATAGATGATGCTTAAAACCACAATACGTTTTATATCTTTTATTCTACAGTTACTTGTTTCATTACATCTGCCAAGACAGGATTGTGTATCTTTGTATCACTGATGATGTAAGTAACTTGAAGATGTATTGCTTTTTAACTGTGTATACTAATACAGTCAATTATTAATTATCTTTACCTATAATGGGTAAAGGTGATAAAAAAATTGTACCTAGAAATGTTTTCTACAAGTTGCATTTGTTATAAAGAGCACCTTATGACAAAGTTTGATTCTTAAATATGTATTATTCAGCTCAGTTTTGATACTTTCCGCTTAATATCTCTAAACATTTATCACTATACAGTATGTTGAAATTGGTATTTGTGATTATGATTGTTGTTTGGTTTTGTTTTAAATCATTTTATGTATTTTTAAATTTTTTGTTTTCAATATACCCTGACTGTAGTTGCCCTTCCTTCTATTCCTCCCAGACCCCTAACTCCTCTCAGACTCCCACTTCTCCCTGCCCACCCCCATTTCCTCTCTTCCCCAGATCTAATCCTGCTCCATTTCTCTTTAGAAAAAAGCAGGCCTGCCAGGGCTATCCACTGAACATGGCATAATAAGATACAATATGACTAGGTACAACCCCTCATATCAAGGCTGGTAAAGGCAATCCAGTAGAAGGAAAAGGGTCCCAAGAACAGATGAAAGAGTCATTGTCACCCCCATTCCCACTGTTAGGAGTTCCACAAAAACACCAAGTTAACAACCATAATGTATATGCAGAGGACCTAGTGTGAACTCATGAAGACTCTGATTGCTGCTTCAGTCTCTATTAGCCCCCAATGAGCCCAACTTAGTTAATATCTGTGAACCATGTTCTCTTGGTATCCTTGACCCCTCTGGCACCTACATATAATTCTTTCTCCTTCTCTTTACATAGGGCTCTCCAAACTCCAAGGGGAGAGACCCAATGAAGATACTCATTTTGGCCTCTCACTTCCTAATGATTATTATTGTTATTAAAGCTTATCAAAATGTTGAAATTGAATATTAAATTAATTTCTTCAGTCAATATTAATGAAGTTTTATGTATTTATACTTTAGAAAAACAGTATCATAGTATGTATGTTATGATCAACTATGTTGTTAAATGTATTAAGTAGAATATACAGAAATCTAAACAAAATCAATTTTACTTAATATAACACTCAATATATTTTAAAGGATACACTAATGAATATACTTCTTTATAACATAATTGATAACATCTGGTCATCAGCCTAATAATAATACTTTTGAAATGTTGATGCATGTAGATTTCAAAATACCTGTAACTATGATAGCATATTAATAAATAATTTCTGGAGATGACTAAGCTATAGATACTGTTTAATACCCCCTTTGTTTTGTTAACTCCCATTCAAAATTGTAATTTAACCTAAAGAGTGATGAAAATAACTCTGTAATATTTCTATGTATCCTAATACAAGTGCCTCTAGAATTCTGACCATTGATCCCAGTTCAAGAATCCAGTGATTAAGAGTACTGTCTAGTCTTCCAGAAGACCCAGGTTTGATTCCTCATACCCACATGGCAGCTCACGAGCTTCCGTAACTCTGGCCTCAGGAGATCTATTACCCTCTTGTGGTCTCTGAGGCAATCCACTCACATGGTGCATAGGCAAAAATACCCCCACACATAAAATAATAAAGAATCCTTGGTTGAAGCTAAGTTGGAATGATGTCAAATTACATTGATCATCACAATGATTTTACCTCTGGTTTCACAATAAAGTCTATCTGTATCTAAAAGGACTGATGTGAAATACTTAAAATAGATAAGAGCTGTTATAGAATCTCAAATGGTCCAAATTGAGCATTAAAATTCTTAAGCTGTGATTTGTTGCATGTGCACGCACACATATATATACAACTTTTTGACTGGTTGGGCGTTGACAGGGTACAACACTTGACCTTTTCAGATATATCACTGTTATTGGAAAGTATTAATTCAAAAGCCATATCAATAGCATTATCTTTATAATGTACTCTTTTTAAAAATCTATCTTTTATTTTGTTTTGTGTTTTATTTTGTTTATGTGTATCTATGTATGGGAATGTCTACAGAGGTCAGAAGAGCTAGTCAGATTCCTTGGAACTGGAGTTGTAAACAGTTGTGAACTGCCCAACCTGGGTGCTGGGAACCAAACTTGGGCCCTCTCAAAGAGCAACAAGCACTCTTAACCACTGAGCCATCTCTCCAGCTTCCAAACTATACTATTTTTTATTGATTTATTGAGCATCTTCTTATGCTGGACCTTGTGATTGTGTGAAAGAACTGGAGGAATTGAAAATTAATTCCAGGTCATTGAGTTATTAATCTATATACCATTGCTTTTTTTAACTTTCTTTTTTGTTTTTAAAACAATTTTATTTTACGTGCCAATCCCAGTTCCCTTTCCCTCCTCTCCTCTTGCTCCCCTCAAGTTTCCTCACCCCACCCACATTCACTCCTCAGAGAGAGTGAGGCCTCCCATGGGGAATCAACAAGTATGTCACATCACTTTAGACCAATGCCGTCCCCCTTGTATCTAGGCTGAGCAAGGTATCCCACCATAGGGAATGAACTCCAAAGAGCTAGTTGATGCACTAGGGATAAATACTGGTTCCACAGTTGTAGTGACCCCCACAAACTGCCCAAGCCACACAACTGTCACCCACATTCACATGACCTAGTTTGGTCCTATGCAAATTCCCCAGCTGTCATTACAGAGTCAGTGAGCTCCCACTAGCTCAGGTCAACTGTTTCTGTGGGTTTCCCCATCATGGTCTTGGCTCCTTTGCTCATAATATCGCTCCTCCCTCTCTATGACTGGATTTCAGGGGTTCAGTCCAGTTCTCCGATATGGATCTCTGCATCTGCTTCCATCAGTTACTGAATGAAGGTTCTGTGATGACAATTAAGGTAGTCATCAATCTGATCACAGGGAAAGAGCAGTTAAGATAACCCTCTCCACTATTGGTTAGAATCTTAGCTAGAATCATCTTTGTGAGTTCCTGGGACTTTCCCTAGTGCTTGGTTTCTCACTAACCCCATATTGGCTCCCTCTTTCAAGGTATCTCTTTCCTTGTGTTCCCTCTTTGTCCTTCAACCAACTTGACCTTCCCAAACCCTCATGTTCTCTTCCCCGATTCCCTTCTCCCCTCCCCACTCCTCTACCAACCTCCCCACCAACTGCCAATATACTAAGGAGATCTTATCTACTTCCCCTTTTTTTGGGGGGGAGGATCCATGTATATCTCTCTTAGGGTTCTCCTTGTCTTTTATGGGGGTTTTGGGCTGTAGGCTGGTTATCATTTGCTGTGATAGTATGTCTAATATCCACTTATGAGTGAGTACATACCGTATTTGTTATGTACTGTGTCTGGGTTACCTCATTTAGGATTTTTTTTTCTTTTTAGTTTCATCCATTTACCTGCAAATTTCAAGATGTCATTTTTTACCACCATTAGTAGCACTTTATTCACAAACCTCATTTACGTGCAGGACCTCCTGCAAGAGCCAGAGCCATCCATGCTATCAGCACAAACCAGAAAGCCTTCCCTTAAAGCTGTGCAGTTTTTGCTGCTAATGCTGAGTCAGGAAGCCTTCCCTTAAAGGAGCCATACCTCTGCTTGCTGCCTGTAACAGCCTATCTGAAAAATGCGGCTACCAAGAAGCTACACTTGGCTCCCATTTTTGTGGGTCTAGAAGCCCCTCCTTTTTTTTTTTTTTAAAAAAAAGGAGACTATTCGTTCTTTTCCTGGCTGCCCAGACCCAAATAATCACACAAACTATATTAATTGCAACATTGTTTGACTGATGACTCAGGTGTATTTCTAGCTTACATCTTAAATTAACTCATTTCTATTATTCTGTATATCACCACAAGGCTGTGAAGGTTTTCCAGTGTCTTTCTCCTTCGGCAGCTACATGGCAGCTACGCTCTCTCTCTCTCTCTATAGCTCTTCCAGCCTGGTTATATTCTGCCCTGCCATAGACCAAAAAAGCTTTATTCATGAACCAAAAAGAGCAACACATATACAGAAGGATATCTCACATCAAGATTCTTTTCTTCTCTTATATTCTGTTGGTTATGCTTGCATCTATAATTCCTGATCTTTTACCCAGATTTTTCTTTTACAGAATTCCCTATATTTGTGTTTTCTATTGTCTCTATTTCAGTTTTTTCAAGTCTTGATCTGTTTCCTTCACCTGTTTGATTGTTTTTTCTTGACTTTCTTTGCGGAATTTGTTGATTTTTTTTTTCCTACATACTGTTGATTTTAGTTTGGATTTTGTTCTCAGCTTTTTAATTTATTAGCTGTATGACAAATGGCAAGTTAGTTATCTTTTGGGAGCTTTTGTTCCTTATTTATGAAACAGGGTCAGTTCTACTTATTCTTAATAGAGTCATGAACCAGTAAACAGTATAGCTGTTATTGCTAATATGCCATTTGTAAATATGAGTTTACATATTTTTTGTAAATATGAGTACAATATGGGTCACTTTATAGGATTTTGAGCGTTCTCGAGCCTTCAGTTTTCTGAATGAAGTAAAGAAGAGGTTCCAGACTACTTATGGTTCCAGAGCACAGACTGCACTTCCATATGCTATGAACAGTGAGTTCTCGAGTGTTTTGGCTGCACAGCTGGTAAGATTTTTCTCAGGACATAGTGTTTTGATTTATATTTTCTTCTTTATTACCTTTAAATACCATGAATGTAGGGGCCCTGGCTATAGAACACTTTTATGATTGTGTTACTATAAGCCAACATAATAAAGTTTCCCTATTAAAAATGTAAAGGGGTCATTTTAGTGTAGAAAGCTGATTGGTGACATTCTCTATTACTAATAGTCAGCATTTCTCAGGATTTGGAAGAATGTTAAAGATAGACTGGTTTGACTACTCATTTATTATTTAGATCCACTAAACATGTGAACTGGCAATTTATCCCATGCATAAACCCTTTCCTTATCCACGATTTGTTTGATATTTGAATAGTTCAAATTAGACATGTGAAAATCTGTTCATCTGCCTAACTCCCTCATTCTCAACTGAATTGATGATGATGATGATGATGATGTGTGTGCAAATCTGAAATGCCACCCTAGTCAAGATAAAAAATTAAACCTTTCTATTAACCCTATACTTTCCCCCATGCCCCTTCTTAGTAAGCCATCTACCCAATACTATGTCCCAGCAAATTATTGATCTATTTTTTATCTCTATAGATTAGTTTTTTCTAGAATTTTTTATAAATGCACTCATAAAGTAAGCATTCTGATGTGTCTTGTTTGTTTTGCTCATTATAATACTTCTAGCCCTCATCCATGTTGAGTAAGTTAGCAGCATATTTTCGTTTTAGTTGACCAATACTGTATACATACTGTTTTACTCATTTATCTGTTGCTCGATGTTTGGGTTGCTGTTTGTTTTTAACTGTTACGAGTAAAGCTGCTGTGACTCTCTACATGTTTTTGTGTGGACATATGTTTTTATTTCTCTGGTAAATAAATACCTAGGAATGGAATTTCTGGGTCATATGGTAATATTTAATTTAAAAATCTATCACCTTATTTTTCCAAAATTAATATACCATTTTTAAATTCTCATTGGCAATTCCAGTGTTTTACATCCTTGCCAACATTTATTGTCTATCATTCATTTTAGCTATTCTAGTAGATATGCACTGGTATCTCATAGTGGTTTTAATCTGCATTTTCATGATATGAATGATGGTGATCACCTTTCAAAATGCTTTCTTTTTATTTTATCTGTAAAAGTATCTGGGTACAAAGACATATGGAAACTGTACATTTTAATCAGTTTTCACTTTTTCTATTTTAAAAAATACTTTAAGTAGCAGCAAAATTAACAACTATTTTGTTATTAGCTCCAGATTTGTGTGTGTGATCCTTTGAATTACTAATTTATTCCCTGTAGCAAATAGAAATGATGAAAATATCTATATCATAGAGTTTTGTAGTGGATTAAATAATATATTTCCTGAATTACTTTCCATAGTGAAATATCTGTAATATTGTGCATTAAGTACTTTATAGTTGTTCATCTTGGGTGATAATTTCAAAATATATACTATCATCAGTCTTTTAGATTCTAGATCTTAAGAGAAACCAATGAAAATAAGAGACATATTGTAATCCCAGCAGATAGATGGTCAGATATTAAAAGAACTGAGTGTGCCCCTATTCTGTCATATTCAAGAAGTAAGAAAAATCAAGAGAACTTTTATCCTATCCTGCCTTTCCTCATCCCAACTGTAGTCATCTTTAATTTGTTCCTTCCTTCCTGTATAAGCACAGATTACATATCCCCTCACCTCTGCCCTAAGAGTCTCAATTATTTCATATATTGTAATACATTGACTGAATTTTACTTAAAATAAGATGTTTTATACTAAAGTGCATTCTATATGAGAGCAGTTTTTATACTGCCAATAATTTTCTAAATATAATACTGTTTTTTCAGGTATATGTATCTTTTATATAATAGAACCATAATTGTATAGCATTCCTCAGTATAGGTTGTTACACTTTCTTTTTTTTAAATAATGTCTTAATATTTTAAGTTAAAACTTAATATCTTGTAGAAACATCACTCCGAAAATAAAGGGCAAGACAGAGTGATGGAGACTCAAGCACAAGTGGATGAACTAAAAGGAATCATGGTCAGAAACATAGGTACGTTTCAGTGGCATAGTTTCATTCATATGAACACAAATAACACTGGTTTACTAGATTGGAGACAGATTATTGTAGGGAGGCAGAAATAGTATTTCCTTGTTTTCACCATCTAGATTAGTGGTTCTTAACCTTCCTAATGCTGTGATCCTTTAATACAGTTCCTCATGTTGTAGTGATCCCCAACCATAAAATTATTTTCATTACTTTTTCATAAATGCAATTTTGCTTCTGTTATGAATTGTAATGTAAATATATGATATGCAAGATATCTGATATGCAATCCTTGTGAGGGTTGAGAGCCACTGATCTAGGTGCTGATACCTGGTCTTGCCTTTATTGGGTGGCTGTTTTGTCCCTTGGTTTCTGTTGCCCTCTCTGATTCATAGGTGGGCATGGTGATTGTATATTGCTTGATAGGGAATGCTTCTGCGATCCTGCTAAGTATGGCCAAGAGGCTTCCTAGTTCAGTGTATTTCTAGGTACTGGGAACTGATACTTAGAAATGGGAATGAGCTAGAAGAGAGGCTGGATGACTCCACAGGAGGGAGGAGAAGAAGGTGTTCTACCATAATCTGTTTAGTACCCTAGGAATGGAGGCAAAGAATCAGGAGAGGCCACAGAAGGTAGTTTGCTGTGGATCTGGGGATGAGACTTGTGTATTGATTTTGGAGGAAAGAAGGGGCAGTAAAGATCTGAAGCTCACCTACCTTCTTCACTGGCTTACTTGGTTCTCTGAATGGCTTTGCTGGTTGCTTCCCAGGGAATGCCTGCTAGAGTTGGGGTCTGAGACAAAGGTATGAGTGTGGAAGAATGTTGGAGAAGATCTGTATAATCCTCTGGAAATGGTGACTAAAAGGGAGGGCAGGCCGAAGCAGGTGGTCTGTTATAGAGCTGGGGGTAAGACTAGCGGATGGGATTGGAAGAAAGGAGGGAATGTTGAAGATCTGCAATTAGCTTGCTTCCCTGGCCTGTGTATCAGGTAGTATTTTGACTATGGTTACTAATGCTGTGAATAAAACACCATGACAAAAAGAAACTTGGGGAGGAAAAGGTTTATTTGGCTTACATTTCTACATCATAGTCCGTCAGTGAAGAAAGTCAGGACATGACTTCAAGCATGGCTGCAACCTGAAAACAGGAACTGATACAGAGGCCATAGAAGGGTGCTGCTTGTGGCTTGTTCTCTGTGGCTTGCTCTTATAGAAGCAGGACCACCAGCCTCTCTGTCTGTCTATCTCTCTGTCTCTGTCTCTGTCTCTGTCTCTCTCTCTCTCTCTGTGTGTGTGTGTGTGTGTGGTTGTTAGCCTATTTTCTCAATTTATGGTGTACTTTTCTTTTTGTGAGACAGTCTCATGTAAGACTGTGCTTAAACTTACTATTTAGTTGATGATGACCTTGAAATTCTGGTTTTCCTGTATTCTAGTATTCTTTCTATAATTTTAATAAAATATCCTGAGAAAAGCAACTTAGAGAAGAAAAGGTTTGCAACTTAGAAAAGAAGAGGTTTTAGTTTGCAAGGCCATCATAGCAGGGGAGTCACAAAGGCAATAGCTTGAAATAGCCAGATAAATCACATCTACATTTAAGAATACAGAAAAATAAATGCATGCATGCTTAGTGCTCATCTATCTTACTATACTCTTAAATGTCTCAGGGCCAAAAACTAGGATATAGTACTACCTAAATTTTGGCTGGGTCTTGCATCAGTTAAGGTAAGCAAGGCAAATTCCTACAGATAAGCCTACAGGCAAATCTGATCTAGATAATTCGTTTTTAATTTGCTTTTTTTTGTTTTGCTTTGTTTTTTGTTTGTTTGTTTTTTGAGATGGGTTTTCTCTGTGTAGACTTGATTTTTCTAGAACTAGCTATATTGACCAGGATGGCCTCAAACTCAAGAGAGAGCTGCTTCTGCCTCCCAAGTGCTGGGATCAAAGGCATGTGTCACCACCACATGGCTTGATCTAGGCTATTTCATCCATACTGTCTTCCCAAGTGATTCTAAGTTTTATCAAATTGTCAATTATAACTAACCCTGATTTGATCTCCAAGGTATTGGTGTTGGCAGAGATTTCTGTCCTGCCGGGTCCCGCATCTGTTCAATTCCAAAAAAATACACGGAAATCTACATTAATTATAAACTGGTTGGCCTAGTAGCTCAGGCTTCTTATTAACTCTTATAACTTATATTAGCCCATAATTCTTGTCTGTGTTAGCCACGTGGCTTGGTACCTGTTATCAATGAGGCATTCTCATCTTGTTTTCTCTGTGTCTGGGTGATGGCTGCAGACTGACCTTTCCTCTTCCCAGAATTCCCCTGTTCTGGTTGCCCTGCCTATACTTCCTGCCTGGCTACTGGCCAATCAGCGTTTTCTTAAAAATAATACAGGATAAAAGACCATTGTCCCACAGTATATTGGGATTATAGATGTGTTCCAGTTTATGTAGCGCTAATGATTAAATCCAGGATTTATGCATGTTAGTAAAGAATTCTGCTAAGTGAGCCACATTCCCAGATCCTCTTGTGATGCCTTTGTTTGACTTTAATACCAAGATAATAATGAACACATTTAATACGTTAAGAAATTTTCCTTTCTTTTGTCTTTTTCAAGAAGTTTGTGAAAGGTGGTCAATGGTGGCACATGTCTTTAATCCCAGCACTCGGGAGGCAGAGGCAGGCAGATCTCTGTGAGTTCAAGGACAGCCTGGTCTACAGAGTGAGTTCAGGATAGGCTCCAAAGCTACACAGAGAAACCCTGTTTTAAAAAAAAGAAGTTTATGATAAAGTAGTGTGTAATTTTCTTGAAATATTTTATATAGAATTCATCTTTTAACCTATTGATTTTTTTATTCAAAGTTTTGAAATTGTTGGCTTAATCTCATATTGTTACATTCAGATTTTCATTTTTTAGTTATTTATGTATGGTAACTGGAATATGTCACTGTGTGGGTGTGAATGTCAGTGGACAACTCGGTTGAACCTGTTCTCTCTTATATATATGTGGGCTCTGGAGATTGTACTCATATTATCAGACTTGACAACAAACACCCTTACTTTTCTGGATTGTTTTGCTAACCTCAAAATTGCATATTTATTATAACGGTATGTAATAATTAAGTTTATAGGAAGAAATAAAAAAAGATAAGAAGTTAGATGACCTCAAACATCTAGAGTGGGCTTTTTTTTTAATGCTAAAGAGGTGCCATCCTGAGTACTAGCCTCACCATGATCAGAGCAAAGGACCCAGTCACTCAATGACCATAGTTCCAGAGAGCACAGTTCATGTTCTCCAAGATGGGAGTTTTGTAATGATAGTGAAATGGGAAAGCATTCATTAGTGGCAGAATAGGGAAGTTAGCTGTTTTCCTTAAATGAGCTATTTTTGAAAATGTAGAGTCTGTTGTCTCTATGCAACTATCAGTTGTCTTGAATTGGGGTCAGCTACTTTTCTTCTGAAAGTCAAATAGTTACTTCATGGAACTTTGAACTCAGTTTTAGGGCCCTTGGCTTTGGTGAATGGGTCCCTTTATTTCTAATATAAAACATCATTTCTATTTGTAAAAATATTTCCAGATTTGGTTGCTCAACGTGGAGAAAGATTGGAATTACTGATAGATAAAACAGAAAACCTTGTGGATTCAGTAAGTATAGAATATGATATTTCTTTCCAGGGTTTTAAAACAACTGCACTTATATCTGAGATATATGGAAATGCCTTAAATTTTATGCTGAGGTGTTTTGTTTCTCTGTTTCCTTTCTCGTATCTATTATATCATTATATTGTGATAAAAAGGGTAACAGTGAGACATACAAAACAATCTCTCAGCAGGCATCAATGAAGCTTTTTTTTTTTTTAGAAAATATACTCAATGTGTAGAAATAATTTCCTAAAAGTTTGGATTGAGGCAAAGTTTTTCAATTGATAAATAATTCATTATGTACCTTTGCTATAAGTTCTATTCTCACATTTCTTTATATTTTTCACTCTTCTCTCATATATTACATCCCTCCCTCCCCTCCCCCAGACTCCCTTCACCTCTCTTCTCCCCCAGTTTCATCCCCCTTCTGTCTCCCTTCAGAAAAGAGCAGACCTCCCAGGGCTATCAGTCAAACATGGCTTAATATGCTACAATAAAACCATGCACATGCCATCATATCAAAGCTGAACAAGGTAACCCAGTAGGAGGAAAAGGGTCAGAGACAGCCCCCACCTCCACTGTTAGGAATCCTACAAGAACACCAGGCGACTCTGCCATAACTTATTGTAGGGGATCTAGGTCAGACCCTTACAGGATCCCTGATCTCTGTAAGTCCCCATGAGTCCCAGTCAGTTGATTCTATGGGTTGTGTTCTTGTGGTGTCCTTGTCCTCTCTGGTTCCTCCTATCCTTCCTTCCCTCCTCCTCAGGACTCCCTGAGCTCTGCCTAATGTTTAACTGCTTCAGTCAATTACTGGTTTTAGCCTCTCTTTAATGATGATTCTGCTAGGCTCCGGTCTCAGAATACTCTGCAGGCAGGACAAGCTGTACATTGAAGGTTTTGTGGCTGTGTTGCTACCTCAATCCCTCCACTTGAGGCCTTGTCCTGCTATAAAAGATGAATGAGTCAGACTATGTGTCCCCCATTATTAGGAGTCTTTGCTAGGGTTACTCTTGTAAATTCCATGGAATTTCCATTGAACTAGGTTTTCACCTCACCGCCCAAGAGCTCCCTCCAATTCTCAGTATTTTCTCCTACATTCCAACTTGATCTCTTCTGTTCCGAACCCCACTCGCCCCTAGTCCATCCTCAAAAGCTGTTATATTACTCCTTCCCAGGGAGATCCTTGTGTTCCCCCTTAAGCCCTCCCTCCTTGTTACTTAGGCTCTCTGGGTCTGTGGACCTTAGTATGATTATCTTTTACTTTAAAGCTAATATCCATGCCTTGTTTGTCTTTCTGTGTCTGGGTTACTTCACTCAGGATGGTATTTTTCAAGTTCCATCCATTTGCCTGCAAATTTCATTATGTCATTGTTTTTAACAGCTAAGTAATAAATACTCTGTTATGTAAACGTGCCACATTTTCTTTATCCATTCTTCAGTTGAGAGACATCTAGGTTGCTTCCAGGTTCTGGTTATTACAAATAAACATGCTATGAACATAGTTGAGCAAGTGTCTTTGTGGTATGGTTGAGCATCTTTTGGGTATATGCCCAAGAGTAGTAGATCTCTTGACGTAGATCAATTCCCAATTTTCAAAGGAACTGCAATATTGATTTCCAAAGTGGCTCTACAAGCTTGCTCTCCCACCAGCAGTGGACGGAATGTTCCCCTTCTTCTACATCCTCTCCAGCATGAACTGTCGTTTGTATTTTTTATCTTAGCCATTCTAATAAGCATAATATGGAATCTTGGAGTCGTTTTGATTTTCACTTTCCTGATGGGTAATGATGTTGAACATTTCTTTGTTTCTTGACCATTTTGGTTTCCTCTGTTAAATTCTGCTTAGATCTGTAGTACAGCAGGACAGTGGTGGCACATGCCTTTAACCCTAGCTCTCAGGAGGCAAAGGTAGGAGGCAGGAGGATCTCTGTAAATTCAAGGCCAGTCTGGTCTACAGAGCTAGTTGCAGGACAACTATGGTTGTTACACAGAAAAATCCTATCTCAACAAAACAAAACAAAACAAAATAGGTCTATTCTCCATTTTTAAAATTGGTTTGTCGATGTCTAGTTTCTTGAGTTCTTTATATATTTTGGATATTAGCCCTCTGTCAAATGTGAAGCTGGTGAAAATCTTTTCTATGGGCTGCCGTTTTGTCCTATTGATGTTGTCCTTTGCTATATAGAAGCTTTTCAGTTTCATGAGGTTCCATTTATTAATTGTTGATCTTAGTGCCTACACTGTTGGTGTTCTGTTCAGGAAGTTGCCTTCTGTGCCAATAGTTCAAGGCTATTCCCCACTTTCTCTTCTATCAGGTTCAGTGTATCTGGTCTTAGGCTTGTCTTTGATTCATTTGGAGTTAATTTTTTGTGCAAGATGGTAAGTATGGATCTATTTGCTTTCTTCAACATACCAGCATCCAGTTGGACCAGTGCCATGTATTGAAGATGCCTTCCTTTTTCTGTTGTATATTTCTGTCTTGTTTATCAAAAATTAGGTGTCCATAGGTATGTGTATTTATGTCTGGGTCTTTGATTCAATTCCATTGATCAACATGTCCGTTGTTAGTACCATGTGGTTTATATTACTACAGCTCTGTAGTATAGCTTGAAATCATGGATGGTGATCCCTCCAGAAATTTATTATATAGGGTTGTTTTAACTGTCCTTGGTCTTTTATTCCATATGAAGTTGAGCATTAATTCTTTCAAGATCTATAAAGAATTTTGTTAGAATTTTGATGGAGATTGTGTTTAATCTGTATATAGCTTTTGGTAGGATGACTGTTTTTTAGTATGTTAATCCTACCAATCCATGAGCATGGGAAACTTTTGCATCTTCTGATATCTTCTTCAATTTCCTTCTTTGAAGACTTGAAATATTTATTATAAAGTCTTTCACTTGTTTGGTTATAGTTTAACCTCAAGATATTTTATATTATTGTGGCCATTGTAAAGGGTATTGTTTCCCTGAATTCTTTCTCATCCTGTTTGTCATTTGTATATAGGTGTGCTATTAATTTTTTAATTAACTGTATATCCAACCACATTGCTGAAGATATTTTTCAGTTGTAGGAGTCCCCTGGTAAAAAGTTTGGTATCACTTATGTGATAATTATCATATCATCTGCAAATAGCAACACTTTGACTTCTACCTTTCTAAACCTTTCTAACTTATATCCCCTTAATCTCCTTCTGTTGTCTTATTGCTCTAGCTAGAACTTTGAACACTATATTGAATACATATGAAGAGAGTGGACAGCCTTATCTTGTTCCTGATTTTAGTGAAATTGCTTTGAATTTCTCTTAGTTAATTTGATGTTGGTTGTTGGCTTGCTGTATATTGCCTTAATTATGTTTAGGTATGTTCCTTGTATCGCTGATCTCTCCAAGACCTTTATCATGAAGAAGTGTTAGATTTAGTCAAAGGTATCTTCAGTATATAATGAGATGATCATGTGGTTTTTTTTTTCTTTCAGCTTGTTTATATGGTGAATTACATTGACAGGTTTTTGTATGTTGAACCATGCCTGAATCTCTACAATGAAGCCTACTTATCATGGTGTATGATCTTTTTGATGTGTTCTTGAATTTGATTTGCCAGTATTTTATTGAGTATTTTTGCATAAATTTTTATGAGAGAAATTGGTCTGTAATTCTCTTTCTTTGTTGAATCTTTGTGTGGTTGAAAGTTTTTATTTTCTTTTTTCTTGATTTCTGCCTTGACACAGTAGTTGATTCATATGGAGTTGTTCAGTTTCCAATGAGTTTATAGGAAGTTTGCAGTTTCTGTTGTTGTTGATATCCAGATTTAATCTGTGGTGGTCTATTCTTTTGATTGGTATGACCTGCACCTGAGCATATATATTCAGAAATTTAGATAATTTATCACAGACATGCATACACATTTTCAAGGTGATTATAGATACTATAAAGATGACAAATATTACCAGATTAAAATATGGTAATCTACTCAGGGCCTTTTTACATAGACAAATAGGGAAACTTTTTCTTTACCTGTTACCATGAACATCTAAGATTTTAATAGTAAATTTCTATTTGGTGGTAGAAATGTGCTTCAGAACAGTTTCCCTTGCTTTGTTTCAGGTCATTAGTTTGGAATGTTTTATTATAGTTCTTCACTCTTAAGTTTTCCTATGTAGGACTGGAGAAATGGCTCAACAGTTAAGATTACTTACTGCTATTGTAGAGGACCTGGGTTCAATTCTCAGCACCCATATAGTGGCTCACAGCTGTCTCACCCTGTAGCCCTGGCTGGCCTGAAATTGACCATATAGACCAGGCTGGCCTCAAACCCAGAGATCCATCTGCCACTGTGACTTAAATGCTGGGATTAAAGGCATGTGCAAGGAAGTATACATCACTGGTGATGATTCTTGAGGTTGTCTCATCGTTAGACCTTTCCTGTCTCCCTTTCCCTTCTTGGACCATGAGGTAAATATTCTTTACCACACATTACCATCACCATACTGTTCTGGCAAAGCATAGAGCTAAGTTACTGGACTGAGCCCTCTGGAATCATGTGCTGAAAAAATATTTCTGGGGGCTAGAGAGATGGCTCAGTGGTTAAGATCATTGCCTGCTCTTCCAAAGGGTCCTGAGTTCAATTCCCGGCAACCACATGGTGGCTCACAACCATCTGTAATGAGGTCTGGTGCCCTCTTCTGGTCTGCAGACAGAATATTGTATACATAATAAGTAAATAAATAAATATAAAAAAATATTTCTAACCTTTAGGATGATCTTGGATATGTGCACACATTGTTGCACAAATCTGACTGATATAAGATAATTTTTAAGAGTTATTATTTTCTTATAAACTATATTAACTTTTTTCAGTTAAGAAGCATTTTTTCTGATCATTTACATATGTTACTTTTGTAGGCCCTTCTAATATGCCCTAGTTAGTGCACATATTTCTGGCATGAATGTTTTGGGCTTAATGTACTTAGTTTGTGCATGTAGTATATACTCATGTATCAGTTGAATTTGTGCATGGTATCCTTTTCATTCTGCACTAAATGAAACCCAGGCTGATACCTTGTTACCTGCAGCACTATAGATACTTTGTAGAGAAAGCAGTTAATTAAAATGCAGCAGCCATATTGAAAAGTATATTAACTGTAATTATACAACTTGTAATAATTTACTAATGTATGCAAATACATTCATTGAGCCAACATGAAGATTAAATTTAGAGTATGATCAAAACTCAGAGGTGCCTTTTTACCTTCTTCTATTGACTGCATCCTTTAGAGTATCCCATATATTAAAAAGCTATTGGACTGGAGCTGTAGCTCGATTGTAGAGTGCTTGCTTGGTGTGCACAAAGCCCTGAGCTTAATCTCCATCACTTCTATCTTAGTTTTACTATTGCTGTGATGAAACACCATGACCATAATCAGCTTGGGAAGGAAAGGGTTTATTTTGCCTTACAATGGAACTTCATTGTTCATTGAAAGATTTCAGGGCAGGAACTAAAAAAGGGCAAAAATCTTGAAGTAGGACCTGATACATAGGCCATGAAGGAGTGCTGTCTACTGACTTGCTTCTTATAGCTTGCTCACCCTGTTTCTTATAGAACCTAGGACCACCAGCCAAGAAGTAGCACTACCTTCAATGGTATTAGCCCTCTCACATCAATCATTAATTTTAAAAATGCCCTAAAGGCTTGCCGACAGCCCAATCTTGTGGAGGCATTTTCTCAATGGAGGTTCCCTCCTCTCAGATATCTTTGGCTTGTATCAAGTTGACATAAAAAGTAGCCATCACAGTCACCTAAACCAGGCAAGGTGGTACATACCTATAAACCTAGCACTTTTGAAGTATAGCCAGGAAGATCAGGTCTTTAATGTCCTTACCTTCATAGCAAGTTCAAGACTAGTCAGTACTGCATATAACCATGTTTCCAAAAAATATAAAAAGAAGCTGTAACATTTACTCTGTTTTTCTTTATGTCAAAATTGTGACATTAATCCATGATATGTAGATTGACTACATAAATATATTAGTAAACTGTTTTAATTACTATATAATATTTCGTTGTGGTTTACTGATATTTTAGTAGTTTTCAGTTTTAGGTAGGAATAATAACCCAAACATTTTTTTGAACTTATATCTCTTTTGTATAATAATAGCTGGGTATTTAATACATTTTGTTATTTGCTTACCTATTTGTTTTAAATTGCTTGTGTTCTGGTGAAAATGCTTTAATATCTCCTGAGAAGATCACAATGCAAAAGAAAGTGGATAACTGAAGAAATGTGTTCCTGTGGGGTTTTGACATTTAACAAGTAAATACATATGTTTCTAGGAAAATCAAACAGATTTATATATATTGTTCAAAGCCGCAAAATCATATTGGATAGAATAAACTAATATGCTTGCATAGTGAATCTTTCTTATTAAAATTTTAAATTGGAAATTGTTTTCTCCTAAATAATCACTTGTTCATTCAACACTATGTACGTTGCTACATAGAGAAGGAAAAGAAGTGAAGCCTTGCCAGTGAGTTCATATTGCTTATTATAGGTTTCAGTGAACTCTGTTTTGTCTAACTACTGATTCTGAATGGCCAGTCTCTTTGAAAAGAGAAGGAAGGAAAAAAAAGGACATTTGAATTTAAACAAAATTAGTGTAAGTATGGCCCAGTAGGAGAGTACTTGTCTACCATGATCTAGGCCCTGGGTTCCATTCTTAGAACCGAAAAAGTAAGATAATTGATTAAAATAAAAGCATGCAGGTTGTTACTATGAATCATTCATATAGCCAGTGCCAAGAATAAAACAACTTACGATTGTGTTCTAGTCTGTAACTTTCAAAACTACCAGCAGAAATCTTGCTCGAGCCATGTGTATGAAGAATATCAAGCTTACTGTCATCATCATCATCGTATCCATTGTAAGTTTTTGTCTCTTTAGTATATGAGCTTATTTTTCACTCTTTAAGGTGATTCTTATGTATTTAAGGTTTCTTACATATTTATTGATATTCTGAAATGGGCTACATTCACCTTTTAATTGTAAAACACATGACTAGGAAATATCTTTTCTTGTGAAATCAGCATTAAGTATCATCTCCATTTAAACTCCTATTTTCCTGTAGAGAACTTTTGTACATAATGAGATAAGGAAAACTGTGGTTGAAGACATGGATTAGTGTTTAAAAGCACTTTTTCTGTAAGCAACAGGGTCCAAATCTCCAACAGCCAACTAAAAGACTGGGCATAGTCGTGCATGCCTGTAGCCCCAGCATGTGTAGTGTGTACATGTAGTTCCTGGTAGCTTGTTGACTAAGCAGCCTAACTGAAAAATTGAACTTCTAATATGCTTGCATAGTGAGAGACCTGATCTCAAAAAATAAATAGGAAAATAGTAGAGGAAGATACTGGAGATACTCTGGCTTTTGTATATACATTCACAGGTGTCCATACCCATGCACTACACACACACACACACACACGCACACACACACACACACACCAAAAAAACACTTTTGTTATATAAAACTTGCAACTAGTTTCATCTATACACAGAATTATATAGGAATTAATATGTGATTTCATCTATTCTACAACCATTTGGTAGCTAGGTGGTGTGTGTTTTTGCATTGATCCAGACTCATGATTGAAGTTCAGTGTGTTCATACACTTGTGTGACAGGTATTAAATAATTCTGAAACTGTACACATCCCACCATATATTTTGAAGCCAGCATCTTTATAACAGAAAATAATAAAATCTTTCCTCACAAACAATACTTACATTTTCACTATTGGTTACATTAGTAAAGAACATTACTCTTCTAGTACCAGTAGTGTTTCTTTAATGTGTTCCTTGAACCTTGTGATAGAGTCATGTAAGTAAAATTGCCTTCTTTCTTCTTCCAGGTGTTCATCTATATCATTGTGTCACCTCTCTGTGGTGGGTTTACTTGGCCAAGCTGTGTAAAGAAATAAAAAGAAAACATTACCATTAACCAAGGATATAAGAGTGAAAGGAGATAAAGGCAATCCATGTGACTCAGGCTTTTCACTATTTTCAGAACTTATCTGCCAATTTCTTTAATCTTTTTTTTTTTGCTTTTTCTTGTTTTAATAGTATTATATGCCTCTAGATTTATCTTTGTCCTCTCATATTGTTTATTTTAACAAACTTTACTTTGAACCATTATATACAGGAATATCTTTGAAATGGTATTTGTTTCTTTTGTTTGTTAAGCATAAACTTCTACTTAGAAAGACATTTTTGTTTTTAACACACAAAGCTTTTGCCAAGGTGAAAACCACCAATCTTATAATCTGTCTGCTAAAACTGTCTATGAATTTTCTATGCTCACACAAAATTATTGGGAGATTGATTGTATTGCTAACATATCATTTTAGTCTCTTTTGTTATGGGAGAGTTTTAGGTGCTTCAAAATAATATAGATAATTTTGGGAATTGTAATGAATTGTTGGTGCTGCTTATATCCAGGAGCCCATACAAGTGGTGTATTTAGTGTTTTTATTTTAATAAGGTGGGAAACATTTTGACAGCCCATTAGAAGCACAAGAATTATCCTTGTCCTCCCAGCATTTACTTAATTAAATAAAGTTTAGTGCATTATTTATTCATACTGCAGATAGTTTAATATCTTCTGCTTCTCCATTACAAAGTCAAATTGAAAAAATGAATTAAATAAGTTTAGGATTATGGGTTTTACATATTATTTTTCTTATATGCATAATTGAGACAAACATTTTTAATAAAATTCATAACAGAGGAAAGGGGAGGCAAATATTTCTAACTCATCAAAGAAAAAGAAGGGAACCACAATAAAAGTGCAAGCATTTTAGCCTTACAAAATGCAGTCATGTGGGAAGTTTTTTTTTCCATTCTGGGAAAAGCCCAAAATGAATACAGTCAGAAGTCAACTCCAGGATTTGGATTTAACTTCTGTTGAATAATAGTTTGATCTTTCTTTGTGGTTTAACAAATTCTTTAATATAATTTTGAATAATTGTAAAGCTGAAAGAGAATAGACAGTATAATGATATAGTACAAAATATCTTAACATAAATTTATTATAGAATAAGAAACTCTGAATGTTATGCTGCTTCATCTACTCTGGCATCAGTAATTTAATAGTTGGTGTCTATCTGAAATCAAAACATTTTTGCCCTAGATGTAATTGCATTTATTTATCCATAGGTGAAATTAAATAGAAGTGATATTACATTTTACTCTTTCTCAATGAAACAATAAACTAGTGTTTTGGACTCAGCCAACTGTTTAGCCTAGTCATGTGCCTTGAATATGTATGTATGTGTCCTATAATCAAACTCTTGGTACCTCTTCTTCTATGTTCATGCTGTCTGTTTGATTTAGTTGATGCACCTAAAGCACACAGGAAATCTTTGGTTAATCATGCATAACACAGTTTTTCCAGACATTTTTATGAGCACTAATTCATAGTAATTATATAATTATTTCCTATTAGGAAATACATTCATTCTCCAAAAAAATATTTGACATTCCCAAGTAATAACTTAAAAGCTTAAAATTTATTTCCTTTTCTTATACACACTAGAATAAAATTAATGTGCATGTTATAGGGATTAATTACTTAAGTATTCCTTGCTCTATGTATAAGAATGCTTTTTACGACACATTTCTCATTGTAAATAATACACAAATTGAAAACATTAATAAAAGTTAATAATACATTGAGTTTCTTGTTTTAGAAGTTATTAATTTAGTAAAGACATCTAAACATGCTGTTTGGAGCAAAATAATTTTATTTATGTTGAAATACTGAGTGTAGCATGAATAATAAAATCCCAGAGACAGAAATTGGGGTTCAGCTTGAAGGTCAGAAAAGCAAAACATCCAGCCATTGGCTCTTACCTCTACCTCAGTTCAAAATGGCGATCCTGCCTCCAAGAATCTCAGAATGAGACTGTGTCTGTGAGTTGTCTCCTCTCATTTTATAATCCTCTTTAGGGCTATGATTAAAGGTGTGTGCCACTGGGATTAAAGGCATGCATTGCCTGGTTTCTACGGCAAACTGGTGTGGCTACTGGGATTCAAGGTATGTGTTGCCACTGCCAGGTCTATACGACTGACCAGTGGGGCTGTTTTACTCTCTGATCTTCAGGCAGACTTTATTTATTAAAATAAAAATGAAATATCACTACAACTGAGAAGTGTGACCTAATTCTTTTCTGTGAAGATTTAAAGCATAGAGTTTAATTCTGGAAACCATGAGATGAAAATAAAAATAACTAAAAAAAAAATGGTATGTAGCCCACCATGCTAAAAGTATCCAAAACTATCATCCTTAGCTGGGACAGTCTGTCATCCGTAGACTGAAACACACACACACACACACACACACACTGCATGCCAAGTTGTAAATAGTATGTTGAATGATACAGAGGGAAAATGATACTTTTTTAATTGAGAGTTTGTTTATTAAACAATATAACAAAATGCTTGGTAAAGTTTACCATTACTCAGGGTTACTTAGGGTTAGGTATTAGAATTAGGGGTTTAGAGTGTTGGGTATAACAGTTAGGGTTGTTAGGGTTAGAGGTTTAGGGTTAGCAGAACTCAGCAGCAGCAAAAGGGGTTTGGGTTAGGGTTAAGGGTTAGAGAGTTAGGGTTTTGGGTTAGGGTTCAGTTTGGGTTAGGGTTAGGATTTAAACTTTGAGTTCAGGTTCAGGTTGGTTATGGGGTTAGGGTACTCAGGATTAGGCTAGGGTTAGGGTTAATTAGATGTTAGGGTTAGGTAACCATGGGCATGCCCAACAGCAAGGACCAGGGCTGCATGGGTCCATTCAAGGAGCCCTTGGATGCCTATCTGCCCAAACTGGGCTTGTATTAGAAATTGGTTGCAAAGAACGGGTTTACTTGTTCAGAGCTGTAGCTGAGCAGGTAATGCATTCTCAGTCTTGCCATGTGTAAGTTAGAATAGCTTGTGTTCACCACCTTTGAGAAGACAGAAATTTGAAGCGTTTATAGAGCGTCATTTGAAGAATATTTAAAATGTTTGGAAAACCCACAGGAAAGTGTAGGACAAGTGGAAATAAGTACCCTTTTTTTATGTACAGGAAAGATTTTGTAATATATCAGGAGCCAAATATTTCTCATTCACAAGTAACTGAAAATAATTTTTCTGAAAAGATGTTACTGTGTTTTTCAAATGGAAATTATGATATTGTCTATCCTATAACAAACATAAAAATCGTTCTGCTATGTGTCAGTCTCTCCTTTATGAATTGCTGTATGAAAACTGATGCTAGTAAAATCATGATGGGACTAGAAACATCTGAAGTGGCTGTTGAAAGCAATAGTGAAATGTGAGATTCTGAGGATGACAGCTGCAAGAGTAAGAGTACTGCTGCTACTGATGTGAATGGATTTAGGTCTTGCGGCAATGAGAACTCAGAAAAAAATGGGAACGTGGCTGACCTTCCTCTGTCCAGAAAGGTTCTTCTTAAGTGGTTCAACCCAGCAGTCTATATAAATGAAATTTGGCTGAAGTCCAAACAAGCTCAAAAGAAACGTGATTATTTGATTGCTGTTGCATTACAATATGAAGCTGGAGATAAATGCCATATTAGATTGGATCATAACGAAAATTTTTCTAATGCAGACATTCATAGCTTTCACTCTGAGAATGGGGAAAAAAAACATATACCAAGGAACCTCAAGACACCTCCCCCAGAAATCTGGAACATAGTGCCAGGAAAGAAGGCGGAAAAAAAAAATCTCAATTCAGATATGGATTACAGAGTGCCAAAGCAGGACTGGCCAAGCCCAGGAGAGCCAGACAAGGGAAGATGTGCCCGCTCTTCCACAGCTGACCTCCACTGTGTCAGTAAGCCTTGGTCTGCTGTTTTCCTGGGGTGCTAGGCCAGGGAATATGCACTGCCTCATCCAGGACCGGCCTCACCAGGGACAACCAGATGTGACCCCTCTTCCAGGGCTCCCAAGCCAGGGAAGCTGCACCCCACTCTTCAATGGCTGGCCTCCCCGTGGCAGGCCCTGGGGTTCCCCCTCTTCCATAGCTGTACCCCCTCTTCCATAGCTGACATCCCTGGGCTGTCAAGGCCCTGGGGTACCAGGCCGGGGAAGATTCTCCCCCTCTTCCACGGTCAGCCTTCCCAGGGTCAGCCTGTCCCTGGAGTCCCATTCGGGGAAGATATGCCCCCTCTTCCACGGCATCTCCTCTTCCATTACTGGCCTCCCTCGGCAGGCCAGGCACTGGAGTCCCAGGCCAGGGAAGATGTGCACTATTTTACACAGCCAGCCTCCCCAGGCAGGCCAGTCGCTGTGGTGCCAGGCCAGGGAAGCTGCGCCTCCTTTTCCACAGCTGGCTTCCCCAGGGCAGATCAGGCCCTGGGTTGGAGGGCTGGAAAGCTGTGCCCCCTCATCCTCGACTGGCCTCCCTAGGTTAGGCCAAGCCCTGGTTTGCCAGGGCGGGGAAGCTGCTCCTCATCATCTACAGCTGGCCTCCCCAGGGCAATCCAGTCCCTGGAGTGCCAGGCCTGGGAAGCTGTGCCCTCTGTCCACAAACTACCTTCCCAGGCCCTGCAGTGACATGCTGAGGAAGTTGGGCCCACTCGTCCACGGTTGGCCTCCCCAGGCTGTGGAGGCAAGGTTGTGGCACAACCTTGGCTGTGTTGTGCCAGGCCTGGGAAGATGCACACCTCATCCAGGGCTTCCACGTCCAGAGATGCCAGGCTGGGGAAGCAGCGCCCTTTCCTCCATGGCTGGACTCCACAGGATAGGCTCTGGGGTGCCAGGCCAGGGATGCTGTGCCACCTCATCCATGGCTGCCAGGCTAGGTAAACTGTACCCCCTCTTCCACGACTGTCCTGCCCAGACCAGGCCTGGGCATTGGGTGCCATGATGAAATACTGTGTCCCCCTCTTCCACGGATGCCAGCCTGTGGAAGCAATGTCTCCTCTTCCACACCCACTAGGCTGAGGAAACTGTACCTACTCTTCCACGGTTGGCCTCCCCAGAACATGCCAGGCCCTTGGGTAACAGGCTGGGGAATCTGTGCACCCTCATCCAGGGATGCCAAGCCAGGGACACTGCACCCTCTCTTCAATGACTGGCTTCCCCATGGGAGACCCTGGGGTGCCAGGCTGGGGAAATGTAATGGGAGCCTTAAAGTTCTAGTCTTCAAGACTTCTGTGCAGGGTTC